ATATATTATAAAGGTTGAATAAAGTTTAAGAAAAAGAAGCAAGCACTGCAATGTGTTGTACACCATATCACGGCAGACGTACGACACATCACAACACACAAGCACGACACAAAACAGCAGAGGCACGCTATGCGCACCTTAACATGCAATGGCTGGCGTCAATGGGCCATAATATGAATGAGCCCTCAAACACAGATTTGTGAACTTTTAATTTATCGGCTTGTGTTTGAACTGCCATCTCCTCTACCATAAGGGCCCATTCACACCAGATGCATTGGAGTTATGCTGGGTGCATTTTCCAATGCACAGACAAGGCAATCGGTTTTCAATCAGTTGACAACGCACACAGCACGCAGTACTTTTTTTCAGTGCAGCATGGTGTGACACGGTGCAACCACAGCTCATCGCCCTGTGTCGGGAGAACTTAATCAATTGTCACTTGTGACATTTTAATAAAGTAGTAACAAGATGGAAGCATCAGCACTGTACCTGCCAGCGCACATTGAGCATGGCTTGCCAGTGTGAACGGACCCTGAGTCTTCCCAATGAAGTGGGCACAGTGCAGCACTCTTATCTGTCTGATTCCCTTTCCTCCATACCGTGGGTCTGTTGTTGCAGAGTAAGTAGGTTTTCTTATTCCATGTTGTCAGCAGTGTAAAGATGTGAAGCACCTCAGCTGACTGGTAAACCAAGGCACTAAGAAGAGGCCCAGCCAGTCTTGTCAGACAGGTTCATAGGACACATCAAGTCATAGCAAAGTGCATGCACACTACCCATGCCCCATCCTCAGCTGTCAATCATCAGACCACCCACCTGGTGTAAAGTTTCTGCAGGGAGCTGGGATGCTCTGAACAGATCGGCCACTTTACTGCTGCCGGCTGCTAGTCTCGGGGATCCTTCAACTTGGCACAAGGAAAACAGCTCGGAGTACCGCTTCTGTTCACTGTCACTGAGAACCACATACAGTCCTGCAGCCGCCTGCGCAGCACACGCTCCCGGCTCCATGGAGCAGGCGTGATGAATGGAAGCCGGGCTCCCCTTCACTTCGGACGATTGTCACTCTCCTCTTCCTCAACGAGAGGTGAGAGCTGAAAATAGGAGGTGTTACTGCAGCTGGTGAAACATCCTCTCTGCCTGCATTGCTGACAGCCCGCACTCCGCTCAATAGGATGACGGGAAAGCTCTCTGCTGCCCCCTACCGTTCACAGCTCAAATGGCACCACATGAAATCCTAGCTGTGTGTCTAATGACATAAGTAACCTCAGCACGCTCCGGTTATTGGTGGAACTACAAGTCCCATGGGGCTTTGCAAGACTCTGATAGCCACAAGCATGACTCCCAAAGGCAGAAGCATGGTGGGATGTGTAGTTTCACCACAGCTGGCGTGCCCAGGTTGCTTAAAGTGGAACTTTACCCCCTAAAAATCACATCAGCATACAGCTCTGCATGCAGATATGAAATCCTTCCTTTTTAGATTGTAAGCTCTCATGGGCAGGATCCTCCTAACCATCTTGTCTTGACTTGTATTGTGATTGTAATGTCCTCCTTATATCGCAAAGCGCTGCACAAACTGTTGGCGCTATATAAGTCCTGTATAAAAATGATCTTACATTCATTAGTTAAATAAACATATTTTTATTTTACTTAGTTTCTTTTTTACCACTTCCTGGTCCACTTGGGCACAAATGGTGTAATTGGGCCCAAGCATTGCACCCTGGGAAGGTTACATGAGCTGCTGCTGGGAAACTGCTGGGAAATCTCATCTGTAATCTCATGAGATCTCGGGGAAAGGCATTTTCCTCCCCTGAGATGATGTGAATGGTCACATGTCCTAGTCACATGTGCCACAGTTCCAGGAAGTAAAGGGAGACCTAGTAACCTCTCTAAATTAACATGGCCACTGTCAGAAGACTGGGGAGTAAAATAAGGTATGTAAAGAATACAAAACCTGCAATAATGTAGAAGTATCTGTGTGTAGATTGTCATTACTAAACATTTCTAAAGGTGTCTTTGTTGTTCCAGGCATAGGCAACAATGTGGTGAACCTACAAATCCAATCATGCCACTGCTTTTGCAAGTTACACCCGGGGATCTTGAGGAGACAGTGTGGCTTCCACATATTGTGTAAAAGGTTTTTGCAGGCTGTGGCTGCCAGTCTTCCAACGCCTAATGGGACTTGTAGTTCCACCACAGCTTGGGTGCTCAGGTTGTCACCTCTGTCCTAATTACAGATGTACGCAAACTCAGCACTCCAGCTGTGTTGGAACTACAAGTCCCATGAGGCATTTCAAGACTCTGACAGCCACAAGCATGACTCCCAGAAGAAGCATGCTGGGATTTGTAGTTTCACTACAGCTGGAGTGTCCCTGTTGCCTACCCCTGGCTTAATTACAGGCATAGGCAACCATGGTACTCCAGCTGTGATGACACTACAAATCTGATCATGCCTCTGTGCATAATGCCTATGATTGTCTATCATTGCCTTATGGGACTTGTAATTTCATTACAACTAGACTACCCAGGTTGCCTGACCTAATTACAGGCGTGGGCATCCCTGGCGCGCCACTACAAATCCTATTGTGCCTCTGGCTGTCAGAATCTTGCAATGACTTATGGGACTTGTTGTTCCACATCTGCAATGTCAAGGTTGCCTACCCCTGATAGAATGTAACACAATGTAACATGTGGCTACTTTACAACACACAGGGACTATGGGGAACAAAAGTAGCCACCCTCCAGAAGGAAGGACAGTGTCAGCACCAATTCAGAGATGATTTGAGGATCTACAGCTGAGTGATACAAAGGAGAAGATACATTTTTGTTAATAGTTAGGGTACTTGAATGTATATTTAAGATGAAACTCCTGAGTTTAGTGTCACTTTAATTTGTAACACATGTAGTTAGATTTGTTACTGTGCGCTCGGCTGGCATGCTATAAGCGCTGGAAGACTGTATGCAGAGAGACATGCTATATGCAGTATTCACACTGGTGAGAAATGCTGTGCTATGTAGTCTTATAATAAGGAAACTGGAAAACTCTCCATTCATTTGATGTGTCAGGGCAATGCACTCATTAACACCACCAGACTGCACTGAAAGCACCCATCTGCCATTGCCCTAACAGACTTTATTTCACCTTCACACTCATTATGTTAAAGCTCATTGAATCATGTAAATCTATTCAGGGTGCATGCAAATAATAATTATAAGGCAGCCCCAGGTTCTCTAATACAGCCTATCCCTGACCCGTATTCTGTAGAGAAGGACCACTCTATGTTAGAGCATTGGTCTGTCCAGCTCCTTCCAAAACTGCATGCAGTACTATGCACAAAGGCTAACGCTATTTACAGTGTAAATGAGTGATATGATTATGAACCTAGTTCACTGTTCTCTATTCACATTAATTTTACAGCTGAATTCCAGCTTTACCTTCAGTCTTGCACAGTTCTATAGGCTCCTCTCCTAGACTGAAATGACTTATTCTGATTCCCCTGCACACTGTGAGCTTCTCACAATGTGCATCACAAGCTGCAGCAAGTTATACAGAGCACAGCTCATATGCTGACTGGAGGACGTCCAGCATCATCTAGATGTCTCCTCAATAGCCCGACTGTCATTACCGCATCATATTTGTTGGAAATGCAACAGCATATATATGATTGTATTACTTGTGTAATTATGTCTTTTGAGCTGCAGATGGCGCCGTAGTGCAATGTTAGTCTATATGAATAGACAGGAAGTTCTCTCTGTATGCTGTATTCTGATATAACGTTCCGATAAGCAACTAAAACTTAATTCTGCATTCCTCAAGATCTCAGTGCTTCATTTAAACACAAAACCAACAATACTGTCATTACTGAGTATTTCATTCATTGGATTTTAGTTCTTTCAATCATGAAGGGTCATCATCGCATGTGGGCACTACCAAGGGCAGTCTGCATAGGAACACCCACTCCTCCGCAATGACACCCACTTATAAAGGCATTTTTACATTTGCATAACTCTTCTCAAAAGTCAGCCCACTGCTTTCATCAGGTCTGAGGGATCTTGAGAGTAGTAGTGAGGCAGTGATATTTTCAGAAAGCACCCCGCCAACCCCTGCCACCAGCCATTATCTACCTGCATTGCATTGAGAAGTGCAGAGACTCAGTGATGATGTCAGTGAATCTAAATGAAGGTACGTAATGAAAACAGAAAGATGCTGTTTAAATATTTCATTATCATGAGGATGAGGAGGAAAATGGAGAAACCAAGTGAAGAAAATCTTAAGCAGATTAGACTTCTCATGGTTCCTGTGATTCTCATGGGCCACTGCCTAGGGTAGCAGGATATGAGTTTGCACTAAGCCTCACAATTTCCAAACTGTGATCGTTTTTCCCCTAGTGTCCCTCTTTTGCAATTCTGTGGCTGAACTTTGCAAATCATCTATAGTGGAAGTTTGTGCAGGAAAACCATTTTTTTTTTGTGTCTGTATAGTAAAACGTAGCTGTAAATATGTGGAGCAGTCAGCAAGCAATACCACATTCCAGTTATAGGTTTTACAGAAATAATGACATAATACAAGGGGTGGTGCTTGTACAAAGGGACAGCTAGGTGTGCCTAGGTGTGTCAGGTGTGTCTAAATACAGCCCTGTTTATAGGGGCCGTCATGTGGAAGCAAGGATCATTTGTACTTTATTTGTAATTCACCGGTCTTGTTATTTCAGATTTGGTTAAGTCAGGTATACACGCTTCTATTGTCTTTCTTCAAGCTGACGGATGAACAAAGAAAATAAAACAGATTCCTCCATCAAAGCTTATGAGCCTTGATTGAGGAACCTCCTTCTGCTTCCTTTGTATTCTGACAGAAGCTGCAGGCCGCTGTCAGGATACTTGAACACAGCTGGCAGCTCATTGGCTGCATAAAGTGTTATAAGTTTACACTTATCAATAGTTACATTTCAATCCAATTTGGTCTGATTTTTTTGCACATATGAAACAAAAATCTTTTTTCATACACACACATTGGGTGCATAGTGACCTTAAAGCTCAAATGAAACTTTAGTTTAAATTAAAGAAATATATATAAGCTGCAACAAAACAAAAAGGTATTCCACGTCTAAGGGGTCATTCACACTAGCTACACAGTAAAATGAGGTGTTTTACCATGCAGATAGTGTGTGCTAGGTGGCAGTGGTTAACCACGATGCTGTGTGTTGTCACAATGCAAGGCACTGTTTACCTTTTTTAACTTTATTTGGAGTGTACAACTTAAGTGCATTGACCTCCATTGGCATCCAATGCGCTGGGGAAGAATGCAGTAAGTCCGCATATTACTACAGCCCACTGCACATCAGACCCGTGTTGTGGTGTGAACAGGGCACATAGAAAACATTTGTTTTCTATGTGTCCTAGCCATACTGACTAGTGTTGGTCCAGTGCGGAAAAATTATAGTCACAGGTGTATTTGTGAACGGGCTCTTGCAGTTTGTTTTCTTTAAAAAATGAGCCACAGAGTTAAAAAAAAGCCTGTCCCCTGCCAGCAGCTGCAGATTGGAACCCTTGCTCCATGTGGGGAAGCAGTGGTCTATTCGCAGAGGTCAGATACGCCCCCTGCTGAGTCAAAGCCAGAGCTCTCCAATCAGCAGGTAGGCTGATATATTCTGATTGGAGAGCTATATGTCTGACTCAGTATGGTCATGCTGGACCTCCACAATTAAACCATTAGAAACCATTAGTGAGTCCCTTGCTCACCACAGAGTGCAAGGGACCCACTCTGCAGCTGCTGGCATGTTAAAGGCTTTTCTACTCAGGCTGTGCTGCTTTCAAAAGACAACAACAGACATTAAATACCTCTTGTTTTGATGCACCTGGAATATAATTAGCAGATCTGGTTTTTAAAACTGAACTCTAGCTAAGTATTACAATAACTATTTTGTCCGGTCCATGCATTTGCCACACGTATCACATCTGCCCTCCAACAATCTCACCGCTGCAGTTCTCCGGCCAGTTACCCGCTGTATTGGACCC